TCATTATATGTCCTCCTTCGTCACTCTTACTTAACATCAAAAACTAACTTCTATCGTCTATTATCTGTGTATGTACTTTGAAGAATCTGTGAATGCGTGAACAAACAGAAATGTATGATGACACATTAAACAAACTATGTAAGATATCAATGTTCAGCACGTATCAGTATGACTAGTTGATTGATACTCGTATCACGACTGGATAAAACTGATTAGATTAAGTTATTGAGCTCAGCTCAAGGGAATTCCGTTAAATTAATTTAAAATGTCAAATGTTCATATATTTAGAGGATGGCTCAAAATAATGTTGCAAAGTGACTACAGAGTTTATACATTTTATGTACACGTGGTAAAGTCACGCTGCAGCTATATTATGGTTGTAGTACGAATGGGTTGGCTCAACCGGGAAGGGGCCACGCTCTCACCGAATACCAGCGTAAAATAGCAGCTTAATACTGCTGTGTTTAGTATGGTGAGTGTAGAGATACAGAGACCCTATTTTACTGAAAACGAAGCATTCCGTCTCTACATCCTCAGGGGTGACACCGCATCTTTGTTTTGATTCTTAATCGAAGATAAATGTTGATGTATATAAGCCACAGAATCTATTTACCACCAGGTGGACTCTGTGCTCGTTTTTCACCTCGTTTGTCTACAAAAAATATCAAAAGTCAATCTAAAAATATTGGCGGACCATGTGAGGTCTTTAAAATATTTTATTTTAATTTACAGGTTACCTCACAATGTTTTCCTTCACCGACATCTACGTGGTATATTAGTACTTAAAATTACAATTAACAATTCAATTGACTCCTTGGGTATCGAAAGTGTTGCTCACTCACTATAAAATTTACAGTGAGTGCTAAGTCTCTTTACTACCGCGACCTTTTTCTGTTTTGTCTAAGAAACCCTATTAATCCTCAAAATAACCTTTATCACAGATACGTACATAGAGCCAAATACTTAAGTTTTTAAAACTACGGCAGATGAAACGAGGGTAACTGACTTTGTTCCGATATGGAATAGTTTAGGTTGTGTGAGAAAGAGCAGATAATTGTTAAATATCCTTGGGCAGTTACTAAAGTGTTCTTTACTTCAAAGAAGAAGCACAGATTAAAGGATGTCTCATTGGCAATTTTCTTAAATTTATTTTGATACCCTTTTCCACAAAAAATAGAAATATTTTTCCAGATTCAATTACCTAAAACACCATAAACCGTATAATATGCTTAATGACGTCTTCCTCTTTCTGAGTTTATGTAGTACCAACACTGTGTACAATGCAGCGACTAAACACCGACTGTCTTATTAATAAAAATTGCTTATTCCAAGCTTTATTCGAAGTTACACTTGGACTAGCTAATCTCAGAGTAACTAACTATTTACTTCGTTATTACAATGTTATTAATAAACATGGAGTAACCTCGGACTAACTATACATTCCTTACGCCGGGATTAACGCTTGCGCTATGGCAACCCACTTATTTTAAAAGTAAAAAGAGTGAGTCAGTGAATGATTAGTGAACGAACTCAATACTTGATGATTGCATTAATGACAGTGACAGGCAATATTTTGAATTTGACAAGAGATAAGTGTTACGTGTTGTTCCTTGTTCCTCGTGTTTACTCATGTTATTTTCGAACTCGGTGGAGAAACTAAGTTCTAAATACCTATAATCATTTTTAATATTATTTGTAACGAAATTTTAGAATTAAGAAAAGAGCGTGAAGGGCAAAATTAATTAAATAACTATTTTTGTTTTGTTTTTTGGGGCTAAATAAAATCTTTTGTACATGTAATTTTTGTATATTTTTTTAAATCGTTAATAAATGCTGCCCGAACAGAATTTCCTCTAACGGAGTTATTTACTAACTGTGTGACTGGTACATTTTCATCATCTCCTTATACTACATCCTTAAGCAGATCTCTTGCTTTTGCATTACAATATATATATAGTTTTGTATGCTCTTATTTAGTATTTAGTCATCGCAGTCAACACCAAAACCTTTGCTTCCCTCCAAAGCATTGTTCTACAGTGTTACGGTCGCCCAGATGTGCGACCGGTTGTATTATACATTTCTTCCTTTTATTTATTAGGACGCAAGACAGGAGTGAATAAATAAGGAGTACAAGCATAACCAGAATTTCCGAGAAGTCTGCCTTTAAATTCTGACTGCTCAAACGTTTATTTTAATGCGACTTTCATTAAATATTCTTGAGTCAAGTGTGCTGCCTTGCCAATGCGCCACTGTATCCATGATCTCTAAATTTGCATTTGACACAACCTGGAACAAAGCACTCATAACTTCTTTAATATGAAATAATAGATTGAGTGATTGTATTGAATCTAAGAAAATAACTAAGTAACTATATAGCAAGGATAGGCTAGCTAGGTGCTATAAAACTTACTTGTACATTTATTGAACTGTATCCTTTCCTGTTTATGTAGTTTTGTCCGATGTTTCCAGCTACTTTCGGGATTAGAATATGTGGCAATCAATAGCCGCAATCGCTTGTCTGAATCCACATAATAAAAACCTGCAATCACTTTGTTCTGCTCCACACCATTTCTTGGCATTTTAATCCATTATGCTATTTTTATTACTAGTGCTTACAACTTATGAGTTTACAAAATGTTAAAATACGCGACTGGTCTATGCTTACTCAGTCGTTAAACTAGGTACCGCCAAGGATTAACTTTTATTCCGAGAGTAAATTCGGATTATTTTACTCCCTCCTTACTCTATGTTTATTAATACTGAAATTAGATATTTTAAGCTTAAAATTAGGAATAAAGTAAATCTCGATCAAGTCTGTGTTTATTAATAGGGCTGCGAGTGTTGCGACATTTTTTTGCCCTCGGTATATCGATTGCGACTAATATTTGTTGAAAAAAAAATCTTGTTTATTTTACAATATTGTTCCTAGAAGTTCTAATAGATCTTGTGCGAGCTTGTGCTCCCGAGCAGATATATCCTGCAAGCCATCTAGCTTCACAAGGTTCATCGCAGCACTAGAATAATAATGCTTTCCTGTTCCTTCAAGCTACTCTCTGCGCCATACAGTGTTCGGCACGGCTCTGAGCCTTACTGCTCGCCTCTGCTTCACGGCACTCTCGCAGATTACTTGCCTTCTTCTCGACTCACCGCAGACTACAAGGCAATCTCCTGGCACTTGCACATTCGTCGACAACTCGACTGCACTATCGACCTCCGGTCTGAGCAGGGGGGTGATGTGGCGGCTGTCGCGGGGGCTGTCGTCGCGCCACAAGCGAAATACACCGAAGCCTAAATCACGCTATCAACATTCCGAATCATAAACAGTATATATAGAACATCTCCGAACTATCACAAGGAGTGTTGGCCGCTCCCCGGGCAGAACACCTTGCCCGGCGGGAGATCTCCCCAGGTCCTTTCTCACCGGCCACAATCTAATTTATTGTCTGTCATGTTAAGCTTTGCTCATTATTCAGTTTCTAACTGACTACAATCAACAATGATTATTGTTTCTCATTTCCCACTTTACACCAATGCAATTATAGACCCACGTTTTGTCTAGTCAACATAAATTATAAGTAAAACTGATTGAAAGTCATATATGCTTACATCAATGGTTCGTATAAAACCTCAGCCCTGACGAAATATAGTAAAAAATCCAGTTGGCCCCTTTTTTAAAAAAAATTAATATTTTCTAATTTAATCAAAATAAATAATAAACATTGTAGCAATCGCTTCATTCTCAGGGGTTACTTAATATCACTTACATATTATTTAATATTAAACTAACCTTGTTATACAGCTTTCCTTTATTAAAAAATTAAAATGTTTGATAAGTAGGTTAATTATCTTACTCTTTTGTAATTTTGCTTTTTACATGATACAAAGTCGTGCCTTTTACGTGGTAGAGCCATGCTACAGCTATATAACGGTTTTAGAACGAATCGATCGGCTCGGATCGGAAAAGACAATGCTCTCACAGAATACCATAGTAAAATAGCAACTTAATACTGCTGTGTTTCGTACGTATGCAGAGATCAGTAGACTCTTTTTAATAGAAATGAGGCAGTCGATCTTTGTCCTCAAGGGTGAAAACGTATCTGCATTTTGATTCTTAATTGATTATAGATGTAGATGTCTATAGACCACAGCATCCACTTACATCAGGTGAACTATGTGTGTTTGTTTGTAACCTTTCATAAGGAAAAAGTCACTATCCCCATCAAAAGTCCACTACTGCACCTTTAGATGTCCTTAGGCCTTCTCCATAGATTGCCTTATAGGGGAGACACTTATTACCAGAGCTGTCACGCTTTGCATGCACGTTGGCAACCCCTTGGATTTTAACAGCAACTTATTAACCGTTATGTAAGCTGCTGTCGTTACCATTATATCCTAATAATGCCCTGCATGCTGAACGAAAGCCTCCCCATGGTGGGGCTTAAAAAATAATATTAAGGTTAACAAGTTTGATGATATAAATTCATCATTATATATTTTCATTCGTGATAAATCAGCACTTAAAATTGCAATTAGCTATTTCAGTGCTACCGGCGCCGATTGAACTCTGAAACTCTTCGCGTCCTGTGAAATTTACAGCGAGGGCTGAGCCCTTGAGATAACTCAACGTACTTCGCGGTAAAGGAAAACATCGTAGGTACACTTCCGCAAGGTGGTACGAATTCCGCTAACACGCATTGTGGCAGCGTGGTGGACACTTCCTTGTTCTAAAATCCTCCCAGAAGTTAGATGAGGCCTGTGTCTGTGATTATCTTAACCTATTGTATTATAATATTGATAGCTTGTAATTATACTAATTATCCATAAACGGATTAAACATGGGGGTCCACTTCTTCTCGGCGGCAAGAATAGCTTATTGCCTCTCCCTTGGGTTGTGTTAACTTGTGTGGTACAGTTGTAATAGTTTATTGTAAAATTGAAAGGACAATAGTTTTTTTTTAAACAGTTCCTGCTTTCAGTATTGATATATAATTTTTTTGCAGAACTACGTACACGCCTTCGAGATATCACGTTATTTGGTAGCCGAGACTGATTACATTCCATGGGCTTCAGCGAACTCAGCTCTAAGCTACCTCGAAGTCGTCCTCAGCGGTTCGGAAGCTTACGATTTGTTCCAGGTCAGTTAATTGTTTTAACTAAATTTTCACCTTCGGTAAATCAAACGCTGCTAGTTTTTGTGTTTGCTTCCTAAAAGTTTATAGAATTCACTCTAAATACACGTTTTTTTAAACACACGTTAGAATGTCTATTTTCAATAAATTAACTTTTTTCGCCACAAGTCAGTAAAAATGCAATGCTGGCCAAAGACCTATTTTCTTAAATCGTCACACTTGGCCTGCGCATCGATTTGGCAGTATCGTTTTTGTCGCTGCTACCTCTCACCTATCTAGATACTTACCGTTTGAGGTCAACAAAATGGTTATATATCGAAAAAGCCAAATAATTTTTCTGGCATTTCCCATATTCGTCACTTACGATACCTACGGATCATAACAGGTATAATAAAAGCAAAATAAAATTTTTACTCACGTCTAATAAGTAATAACTAGGTTGCTTTATCGTCTACAATACTTAGACGTCACTCGTAGTAGGTATTATACCCTTGACAGATATTATTCTTGTAACATATTTAAGATGATTGCTCTGCTATCATGCGAACCCCCATGTTTTATCTTCACCTTTTATGAAAAGTACTATTTAAAGTAAAAAAAATTAATTACCGTCACATAAATAAATAAATCGTCCTAACAGTTTATCAAAGTCCTCTGCTGAACACAGGTTTCCCCCATATATTGCTTTATAGGCGAGATAATTGCCATATTTTACACATATTGGCTGTGTGTGGCAGAAAAAAGCGCTAGGAAGCGCTTGTAAGCAAAATGGCGATCGTAAGCGGTAAGCGCTGTCAAATGGTAAATAGCTATTTTCCTCTAGGATACTAAGTTAGCTTTAACCGGGGAACCTAACCTAATATAAATATATGTTTGTTAATTAGGTAGTAGTACTAGGAATTTCGTTTACGACAGTAATCGAACAGTGGAATTATAGCAGTGGTTTTTAAGGTGATACCTCAAAATTTGCTGGTTTTTCTATTTCACATATTTTGTTAATTTTTATAGATTAGAAATCAAAATTTTGGTATATGATTCATAACTATATGACCTTGGGTTACATAAAAGGAAAACACGATATTATGTAATTTTCTCGATAAAAAAAATTGCAAAGTAGGCTTTAATTATTTCTCCACGGCACCACAATATTTTTACGAATAATTTCATTGAATTATTTACAATGCATAGTAAAAAATCATATCTAAGTTCTAATAAATCATTTTTTTAATCCATAACGATCTTTTGTTAAAAAAATGTTTGGCACTTACTTAGTTTTTTCCCGAGCGTATGCTCGGTTTAGTCTCATAATTGGTATATTATGAAGTCATTGCATCACTTTCATTTTGACACTCTCTCAGTCGTCCGTGAGCTTCATCTACAAAAAAGTAAGCCACGCCCCCAAAACTACGATTCAAGGTGTCCTCTTAACCGATGGTCCGTGGACAGCTGGTGGTCTGTAAAGGCGCCTGAAGTGGTCTGCGAAGGCATCATACAACTCTATGATATAGAAAAGTACACAGATACTGTCAACAGGTTTTCCGTACAATGTGTTGCTAAACTAAAATAAAGGACACACAAACACACCTCTTTTCACATTAATTTTTATATGTATTTTATTTATAGAAAATAGTTAAAAATCAAACATACTATTACAAATCCTCGAGATCAAAAGAACACCGATTCCTACCAAGGATGATACGCGAGGCTATTGAAATTAAAAAACATCCAAATTTCAATAGAGAAGATGGATGGGTACTTCGAATCCTATAATTAACAAAATTAAATACAAACCCAAGCATACCATTGCAAGACTTCATAATACTATAAGCTCATTTTGCGTAAATCGAACCAAAATTTAATATTCAAAAACTGAAGGTAGCCGGACTAACTATGACATTGGGACGTCAAAAATCTCAGTGCCCCCCGCACCCGAAACGTCGGGATAGTAAAAATAAGTTAGAGTAGTAATTAAACGCGATAAAATCCGTAAATAATTGTTTTATTAAATACTAATATATTATTTTTTAAAAGTTGGTGGTCCATGGCAAGATAAAAAATCGGTATGGTCCCTAAATACTAAATCTTTAAGAATCTTACATATTTTGTACCTTTAAATATTTTGACTACTTTGCCGTAAATTGTGACCAAAGTAATCGTTAACTTTTATTTGCAACCAACCTAAAAAAAGGAGGTTCTCAATTCGACTATTTTTTTGTGTGTTACCTCAGAATTTTTATCTAAGTAAACCGATTTTAATGGTTCTAAAGTGGTACCATATAAATTTGATTAAAATCTGACCAGTGGTTTTTGAGTTATCCTTAATAATGCGTATTTAATTGACTTCTATTACATTGATAACATTCTCATTTTATTTATATTGAATTCAGAAGCACAATCTTAACAACTTTATCCTTTGTTATTTACAGACCTACATGTTAGAACTATCTAACCCTCTATACGAAAGCTTGGGTTTCGAGGCACAATCAACAGACGAACACGTTACCGCGTATCACAGAAATATCATTTTGAATATCAACTGTCGTTTTGGGAACGAGAATTGCGTGAACAGATCTCAAGAGCTGCTGGAAGAGTTTAGAAATAATCCTTGTAAGTTGCAACTTATAGACAACTTATATACGTGGTAAAGCCGCATGCAGATATAATATAGTTGTAGCACAATTGGATCGGCTCGACTAGAAAACAACTACGCTCTCACAGAATACCAGCATAAAATAACAGTTTAATGCTGCTGTGTCTCGTATGTGTAGAGAAAAGGAAACCCTTTCTACTGGAAACGAGGAACTCCATGTTAGTTCTCAGGGGTAATAACGCGTCGGTATTTTGATTCTTAATCCAAGATAGACGTAGACGTCTATGAAGATACCAGAAATAGCAAGAGAAAATATGCAGAACATTCACTTACCATCGAGTGGACTTTGTGCGTTTCGGTTGTCATCCTTATTCTACAAAAAATAGACATACAAAAATTTTAAAACATTTATTCATGTCTAATGACGTGAAAATAACCTCCTCAATTTAATAAAAGTTATTTCGATATTATAGACACTTAAATTTTATTGATAGGTGCATACATTATCTTGTCTTGGAAGACAAAAATTAAAAACTTTATTGCGTTTTTCAGCTCAGCGCCTTGACCCGGATATTCAAACGACAGTATTCTGCTCCGGCCTCAGAGGTGGTGACGTCGATAACTTCAATTTCCTCTGGAATCAATACTTAGCCAGCACCGACTCCAGCGAACAATCCATTCTACTGAATGCCCTTGGGTGCACGTCGAACGCGGAGAGACGTGACTTGTGAGTTATAGCTTCGCTGTAAATTCTATTCGGTTTTACTATCGCATAAAGTTTAAGAAGATTGAATGACTGAAGTTGGATTTAAATTTGTGTTACTCTAGGAAGTTTTGGTATTCCAAGGGTCAACATTCTCGGGAATAGGATGAAGCTTTTGTCGAGATGTGAGAACTTTAAATTCTTATTTTAAAAATCAAACAAAATCAATTTTTATAATTTACTAATTAAATTTTGCAGCCTTTCCTGGGTATGATCTATTAATGTAGCAGTTTTAGGTTTGAGATTGTTATCAAAGTGCACTTATTTTATGAATTTTTTGATGCCCATAAAATATCTTCAAGTGTTTCGGATAAAACATAAAATAGATAAATAACTTCTGGCATTACTTTCGACCTATATGTGAAGCACCATTGCAATTAATGCAGTCATTCTGCTGAGGCCAAAAAGACAAACTGGCAAACTGACTGACAAAATTGAAATAATGATTATTCATATCTTAATGGTATGAAAATGATTCAATAAAAGGCAGTTATTCAGATGTTACAGATAGATAATTTAATTTTACTTAAAATTTAATATGTATAGATAAAAAAAATTCTCTAAAATCATTATATATTTCGGAATATTAATTAACGAACCCTATTTGTGTTTCGAATCTACCGGTCGTGATGTATTACCTGGGTATTCTTCACATCCGTATCATTACACGTAAAATTAAGAAACATTTAATAATTATTTGTAATAACTACTATTTACAAATTTGAAAAAAAAATACTTTAGTATTTTAAATAAATTGCAGCTACCTTAACCAAGTCATCGATGATGATTCGCCAGTTCGTGAGCAAGACAAACACACTGTTGTTGTCTCTGTCATCAACGCAAGCCCTGAAAACATGGAGGTTGCATTGGACTTTGTCATAGAACATTTTGCAGAAATCCAGACAAGGTAAAAATATAGTCATTAACATATTTTAACAACTGCTGCCCCTTTCTATCCCAGGTAAGGCGCACTAGAACAAAAGGCGTGCCCTTCTCTAACTGCACAACGAACCTCCCTAATCCCGATACGTGGAGGCCATGGAACCAGCAAAAACAAGCACTCAGGAGCACAAGCCGTCCTGACTCAGTGGTTGATATACATATGCCTGCTATGTCATGTCTCCACCGTTGACCACGTTTCTCCCACGAAGGAGGAGCAGTATATCGCTATACCAATACTCCTCTTCCCCCGTAACTCTATTTGGGCGCGGTGTTCGAGGGATAGCATACCCCTCTTGCCAACACAAACCTGTGTTGCCACTTCGAGCCGGGACTTGACGTCAGGCCAGTCATGTGAATTTTTCTTGCAAACAATGGCCACTAAGCCTTTGAGACCACTCAAAGGCCATAGTATCAATAGGAGTTTCCTAAAATTGAGGAAATACGACAAACTCGTACTTTTTAGCAGCAAACACAAAACGTTAACCTGTTATTTTTTGTTAACTACTTATTTACGACGAGTTCGACGACTTAGGAAAATATGGAGAGATAACCTGCAAATAAATTATAAAATATTTGTTAAAGAACACCATTGTGACAGAGGAGCTTAATGCTGCTGTATTTTGTATAGTGAGTGTAATAACTGGAAATTTAACTGGTGATGAGGCATTGGAGTTAACTCCTCAGGGGTGACAACGCATCTTTATTTTTATTCTTCATTGAGGATGGATGTAGATGTCTATAAGCTGCAGCAACCATTTACTATCAGGTAGACTGTGTGCTCGTTTGCCGCCATTATTCTATTTTAAAAAACTCAAACGCAGCGCATTGGACACAAATTCTTTCAGAAATGGTCGTGTAGTAGGACCTATTACTACTTACGTAATATTTTAAGGGCTGAAGGGAACTTTATAACTTATTTGTCGGCATTTTAGAATATAGCGATTATTAACATTATTAATTCCAGCCAGTCCATTTCCAAGACCAGTTTTTTAAGACGCCTGCTAGATCAAATCGATAAAAAGTTATTTGTATAAGTGTTAATAATTAACCGATTTTAAGCGTTTAGTCAGAAAAATAATCTATTTCTTGTTACAATTTTTTAAGCAATAAAATCTGTAACTTTCTTACATTAGGAAGAATAAAGAGAAAGATAAAATTATGTAATACATTAAAATATGGGATGTTAAAATAATTCAAAGCACGTAGGATGTATTATAATACCAACATCATATCCTCTTTTTTGGTATTATATAGCTTATATAGTGGCAGTTTCCTATCCTATAAAAAAAAGTTTAAAAATTTGTGGAAATAGGATCCTCCCTTAGCACACGATTGAATTTTCATATAAATGTTCCATGCATATTTCCCACTTTTGCTTGCGAAGTTATTCTCGTAAATGTAATTTTTTTGTATGCGATACGTCTCGGTGTCTTGAATGTGTATTTCTCGTGACTTACAGTAGTACGAAATTTTTGAAATATCATTTTGAAAAGTTCTATTTCAAAACATACTTTTTTATTAACTTAAATATACACATAGTTCACCCGATAGTAAGTGCTTCCTGCGGCCCTTAGACAACATATACATCTATCCTCGATTACGAACCAAAATTTAGATGCGATGTCACCCGTGAGGACTAAGATGGAATGCCTCGTTTCTAGCATAAAGAGCCTCCGGCTCTTGACACTAACCATACGAAACACAGCAAATATAATAAATATTATTAATATCACTTGTTAAATTGCCTTGGTAAATTGAAAGAACTTTACTTTTTTATTTTTAAAACAATAATACTCTTTTTTGACAAGCATTCAGTGTTAAATACTGGTAAGGTTCATTTTTTGTCTAGAAGTTAGAAGACATATCATTTAAGCCCTCAGAAGTGTTATCGCATCTGTAGCCCTTTTTGTTTGAAATTGGCTGCAGATATCGATGAACTTACCATCCACCAGATGGTGATGAAGATATCGATGAACTTACCATCCACCAGATGGTGATGCAGATATCGATGAACTTACCATCCACCAGATGGTGATGCAGATATCGATGAACTTACCATCCACCAGATGGTGATGCAGATATCGATGAACTTACCACTCACCAGATGGTGATGCAAATATCGATGAACTTACCATCCACCAGATGGTGATGCAGATATCGATGAACTTACCATCCACCAGATGGTGATGCAGATATCGATGAACTTACCATCCACCAGATGGTGATGCAGATATCGATGAACTTACCATCCACCAGATGGTGATGCAGATATTGATGAACTTACCATCCACCAGATGATGATGCAGATATCGATGAACTTATCATCCACCAGATGGTGATGCAGATATCGATGAACTTACCATCCACCAGATGGTGATGCAGACATCGATGAACTTACCATCCACCAGATAGTGATGCAGATATCGATGAACTATCGTCCACCATATGGTGATGATATCGATGATTTCCCAGTGGTGATGCAGATATCGATGAACTTACCGTATCCACCAGATGGTATGCAGATATCAGATGAACTTACCATCCACCCAGATGGTGAGAACTTACCATCCACCAGATATGAAGATGCAGATATCGATGAACTTACCATCCACCAGATGGTGATGCAGATATCGATGAACTACCATCCACCAGATGGTGATGCAGATATCGATGAACTTACCATCCACCAGATAGTGATGCAGATATCGATGAACTATCGTCCACCATATGGTGATGCAGATATCGATGAACTTACCATCCACCAGATGGTGATGCAGATATCGATGAACTTACCATCCACCAGATGGTGATGCAGATACCGATGAACTTACCATCCATCAGATGGTGATGCAGATACCGATGAACTTACCGTCCACTAGATGGTGATGCAGATACCGATGAACTTACCATCCACCAGATGGTGATGCAGATATCGATGAACTTACCATCCACCAGATGGTGATGCAGATATCGATGAACTTATCATCCACCAGATGGTGATGCAAATATCGATGAACTTACCATCCACCAGATGGTGATGCAGATATCGATGAACTTACCATCCACCAGATGATGATGCAGATATCGATGAACTTATCATCCACCAGATGGTGATGCAGATATCGATGAACTTACCATCCACCAGATGGTGATGCAGACATCGATGAACTTACCATCCACCAGATAGTGATGCAGATATCGATGAACTATCGTCCACCATATGGTGATGCAGATATCGATGAACTTACCATCCACCAGATGGTGATGCAGATATCGATGAACTTACCATCCATCAGATGGTGATGCAGATACCGATGAACTTACCGTCCATTAGATGGTGATGCAGATACCGATGAACTTACCATCCACGAGATCGTGATGCAGATATAGATGAAGTTCCCATCCACCAGATGGTGATGCAGATATCGATGAACTTACCATCCGCCAGATGGTGATGCAGATATCGATGAACTTACCATCCATCAGATGGTGATGCAGATACCGATCAACTTACCGTCCATTAGATGGTGATGCAGATACCGATGAACTTACCATCCACCAGATGGTGATGCAGATATCGATGAACTTACCATCCATCAGATGGTGATGCAGATATCGATGAACTTACCATCCACCAGATGGTGATGCAATACCGATGAACTTACCGTCCATAGATGGTGATGCAGATACCGATGAACTTACCATCCACCAGATGGTGATGCAGATATCGATGAACTTACCATCCACCAGATAGTGATGCAGATATTGATGAACATACCATCCACCAGATGGTGATGCAGATATTGATGAACTTGCATGCCAATTACCATCTCTTGGGCTGTAACTTCATTTGCCACTTCAGGTTTATAAAAAAAAAATATTAAATAGATCTTCTCAGTTAGCCATTTCACATAATTAGTAACATATTCCCACAGGAATATCTCCATTTTAAAAACGTTGTCTTTATACTGAGAATTTCTCGCGCAAATAATAACGAACGTTAAAAAATCGGGTAGAGATACGGACCGTGAAATGTATATTACCAGAAATATATTTATGTTAGATTTAATAGATACACAATAATTAAAATAATATTCATAAGTAAAGTCACAAAGCCACACAATAACATATTTTCTTCTTTTTTCCACAGAGTACAAGGCCTGACCGGGACAACTAATATTCTAAATGCCTTTGCCCGAAGACTGACAACTAGTGGGCATTCTACTAAGGTAAGCAATGGCAAATCTCTTAAGATAAAAATACGTTTTATTTACTTCAAATACAAAATAGAAGGTTTTATATTATTTTTTACAAAAACCTGTGACAAATTTAACTAAAGGGAAATTTTAAATAATCACCTCGGTACTGCCTGACTCTCCTACGCACTGTGTATATAATATATATAAAATTAAAAATGTTTATCATTCACTGACTTTTATATTGTCAGATTTGGAATCACCGCAGCAAATAATAAGATTTGTTTGTGTTATTTCGCTTTTCAGAATCACATTGCCAATATATTTGTGTGCAATAAATGAATCACAATACATATATATATATATATATATATATATATATATATATATATATATATATATATATATATGTACCTATATACTTAATATTAAAATGGGAAGTTAATAAGGATCATCTCTTGAACTTAGATGGAATACCTCTCAGCTTGTAACAATTTAAGCTTTGAAACCGAAACACAAAGGCATGTTAAGTAAAGTAGAACTTTATCGCACACAAAGACATACAAGTGTAATAAAAATCAAAACAATAGCAAAAAAGCAAGTAGAATTGGCTGTGTTATCGTCGATACACCGAATAGAAGATAACATCTTGCTGTTTACCACAACTCATACGGGAGTAATGAGAACGCCTTTTAACTGTGATAGAGGTCTATGACTAGGAGATAGATAGCGTACTGATGTAAAATTAGAAGAAGAAAGATATTCACTGAAAGTGAAAATAGAGAGATTGTAGTAGTAGATCAATATTCCACTTTGAGGATCAAAAAATAAACGACATAATTGTGAGTCATCGCTGTAAAAGCTCAAGGCTGGCTTTCTGTAGTATGTACTTCCAGATAGAAAGTGGACTTAAAGCGGTGCTAACATGTACAACTTGCTCTATGGTGACGGCATTAAGGGTCATTTTTCCATTCTTATTTTATGTCATGGAAAACTAACAGATTACAAATCTCAAGTAAATAACGTATTAAATTTACAAGAAGCCAATAACAGGTTCTCACTAATAGAAGTACACTAACATAATCTTTCGTCGCTTAAAGGACATAGCACAAATACGAGCAAAGAATGGATGGAGTACAATTTAAATGTACAACATGCATAAATTAAATAAGTGAAACAAACAATAATAGCTACAAAAAAAAAGAAAAACAAGGCTAAACGCACAACATATTTTTTAATAAATAAATTAAATTACGACATAAAAACTCTTGACTTAATTTGCCTTGCCGATATATAGCTGGTATTAAACAAATGAAAATCATGCTTTTTGCATAAATTATTAAAATTATTACTAGACCGTTATAAGAAAATATTTATTCCATAATTCTTCCATAATTTATTTTCGTCGAGAGTTATCGTATAAAAACGACTATAGGAAATATCATAAAATCTTATAGCTTACGAAAGATGGCATTTTAAACATCTCATTTAACTCAGACGAGACGAGACGTACAGGAAGAATGTTTATAACAAAAAATATCTTAAATACCTACTCGTCGTGCTACATAGAGACCATCACACCTGTCATCCCCGAGGAGGTAGGCAAATTCTAAAGAGCAGCGAGCTTCTCGAACCACGTTTAGTAAAAAATATAGTTTTCGTGTTAAATTGTAATATAAGTAATAATTTGCCAGTGTATTATTATTATCCCATTAGTTTTCATTAGTTTTTCTTTAGTTTAAATAATTATGACTATCCTATTAGTTTTCATTATTTTCTTTTGAGAAATTATAGTCTAGTTACATAGTTGGCACATTTTTTTGTTATTAATGTCACATAAACATGCGACCTTTAAATCCTAGATCAACATAAATTTATGAGAACCCTGCCTGCGTTTTATTGCTCCTTTACTGAGCCTTTTGGCAGAATGGATACAAATACTCTCACTACCAGCAAGGACCTCTAGTTCATTTACAGATTAAAATTTGTTGTAGAAACCTCAGACATAGCACAACCAATACATTGAACATTTATTTCCCAGAGAGACTGACGTAATGGTTATTTTTCACAGATTGACACATTTTACAATCGTCATCAATCTATCCTCTCGGCTGGTGAGCAGGCCGGAATCGCTGCTATTCGTGAAAACATACAGGCCTCTATCGCTTGGAGTGACCAGCATTACGATACGGTCTACTCGTGGTTAAACGAAAACTTCCGAAGCAGTGCAAATATTTTATCATCTAGCTTGTTGATAATTATTTCTATATTTATTACTTTTTATAATTTTTGAATTAGCGTAATAGAATATGTTTAGTTCAATTTTCGAACTTTATGTGTCATATTTTGTAAATAGAAATTAATCACAAAATAAATTATTTTACTAAAAAGTGAATATTATTTTAACTATAACTAACATAATCAATCATTCTGTAGCTATATCAACAAATTAGTCTTTAGCTATTTTTATCTTTTAAAAAAATAAAAAGTTATTTCCACAATAGTTGACAGTAGCCTATTAGTTAATAATGAGGACTTAAAACTCGTAAGGTTGTAGGTTCGAATGCACCATTCAACTACCGTCTTGAATAAATCCTACACAAGTAGTTAAGTTTGGTTAGAGAGGTTAACTGGAGGATTAGTAATGTTAATAGCAAAATCGATACTCTTTTTTTAAATAGGAATTCGTCTTGCGTCTTGGAGCCATTTTATACATTGCACGTAAGTAATAAAAAAGTAGAAAAAGTATATATAAAGTATCCAGTTCCGGAATGATTATTTTTAGGTCATAAATAACATACTACTTCGTACTGAGTTAGAACCTAAATCAAATTGTATAAATATTAGTGGCAATGTCACGCCGCGGCGGTATAATGTAAAATATTATATAAAGATTTTAAGGTTTTAAGATACATTTATTCAAGTTTATTTTATTCTACATAAAAGTCTGCAATTTTTGTTTGTTTGAGATTATTCACACTATCTATATCAATTTTATTTTCCAATATTAAGTTAAGAAGAGACAATATCATCCTCTGTGTTTCCGCATTGCTCTATAAAAGATCGTAAAAAATCTCTATAAAAAAGCTAATGAAACTGTTAATTTACTGTACTTAGAACTTAGTGTGTTGTTTACATTTAAAGCCATTTGATAAACGCGTGTAAGCAATATTAATGGTCTACAGGGAACCTTTTTTGTTTGCACATTCGTTTAAAAGGACTCATTGATAGATGATTGAAGTTGCAAAGGTCGTCTTCCTTACAACTTTGAGTTACTTAGTCGACGCCCAAATTTTTCGTGGGTTTGTATTTTAAGTAAAGAGGTTTTAACTCCGAGCGGAAGGGAACACAAAATTTTATGAATTTATAGAGGTTATTACGTTATCGAGGTTTAAGTTATCAAGGTTCTACTGTATTACAAATTGCTTTTGGCAGATCCTCTACGGTTGTTTGTACAAATATCTGGAGATCATCAGCATACAAGTGGTAGAGAGAAGATATTCTGTAGCTAACGGAATTTATGAAGAGTGCAAATAAGAGAGGAGATAATACGCCATCTTGTGGAACGTCAGTAATGGTATCAAGCCATGAAGACAATAGAGTGTAGAAGTAAGGAGTACCAACTCCCATAGTAGAATAGTTGAAGAAGTGTCCATCTGTAAGCAATAAATAACAGTACAAAAACTCTCCACAACAGCGCTGTAGTAGCTACTGGGATGAAATGAACTTAGCAGTTGTCGACGGTTTGAAATGTGCTGCTAAACTGCTCAGTAGCTCTAAAATCTAAAATAATTTTATTTAGTAAATATACCCTCGATAAATTCGTCTATCTCACTAATAATTTTTGGCACGATCTTTAAAATTTAGCCCGTAGCTATAGTGGCGCCACCCTTATTTAACGGTTTTCTATGGACACTTTTTAATTCACAGTCTGTACTCCTTACTTCTACACTCCATAATGAAGACATTTTATCTTGTACGGCGGCGTCCATGTAAGTAACTACGAAACCAGGCAATTACAGTTGGAGATATGTTAAGAGAATGAAGTACACCATTAGGATATTACGATTTACATCATAGAAGGCATCGCTGGAATTCGGCAACACCATCACTGTGATTTGGCGGTTATCCATTCTAAAACGTATGCCGTTGGTGATTTTTAATAATGCCGTAGTCTGTCGTGTCGTCCGTACTGTGTCATTATCTAAATTCGGATTGAAGTGAATTAAGGGTGTCACTTCTTATGCGAAATGAATTTAATTGTTGTTGGACAAGGCGTTCTAGGAATTTAGACAGAAAAGGAAGAAATGAAATATGACGATACTTGGAACAACTCGAAGGATTAACTTTTTTAGGCAAAGGTATGATTTGGGAATCTTTCCATTGGGAAGGGAAGGAGGATGTGGATATAGACAAGTTTTGGATAAACGCAGTAATAGGTGTTAATATATCAAGTAATCGAATAATCATTTATGGACTGATATCATCACTTCCGACAGCGTCAGAATGGATAGAGAGTATGTTTCTCCTAAGATCACAAGTATCCAAGTAGTTTTAGTATAGGCTTGCTTTATAACAATGCAAGCTTTACTATTTTGCGGCTGAAATGGGTAAGAGGGTGGATCCTATCCAGATGGACTCCAAGGTAAAAAGGAGTTCTACCTCTTATCGGAATACAAAACATTTATTTAAAATTCTTATTTTTCTATTGAAATAACGTGACAAATGAGCACAAATGATGGAATTGGATACAGTGACCCATGGGCATTTACATCTAACTTCGACTATAAATTAAAATGCGTTGTCACCCTAAGCACTAAGAAGGAATACCCCGTTTCCAGTTAAATAGGGCCTTCGGTTCTCGTCGCTCAGTATACCCCAAACAGCAGCATAATACTGCTGCTTCTTGGTGGTGTCCTGTGCTTGACGCAGTTGGCAAAACCTTTGTTTATGCTTAAAAGGATAACCGATAAAGAGAAGTAGTAGTCTACGAGAAGTAGAAGTAAAGTCCGCATTTACTTTAGTAGTACATGAGCAAACCTAGTTCGATCTTCGCGTTGACTGCCATTCCGGAACGAAGACATTTCTCCCGTTCTCCACACTCACGATATATATAGTTATAAGCTGCTATTTAATTCCTTTCTAATTATCCAAAAAAAATACGACATACAAAAACACACTCGGCTTCCAATAAAGTATTCATAATTTTATAAAGTAATATTTATTTCTTTAAAAGATTATTTATGTTTTCATAATTAAAAAAGATTAATAATATTGCAAGAATTTTCTTAATTTTTTTACTATTTATAAAATAAACGAAAAACATAATATGTTTGTTATTTTATTTTGCAGCCTGTTGCAAATATGTCAACACTGAAGGATAATATAATATTGAATCTTATTAAACATTTACGTTTAATAGGGACACACCTTCGGTCGCCCCCGTAGTATAGTTACAGATGTGAAGATCCGTCCGTGCCTTGGTAAAGGCCGCTACTCTAACCGCGCACCTAAAGCTGACCGACTTGATAAGGGATTATCCGATAACTCAAGCGTACCATTTCGTTGACATGGGTCATCAAAGTGACTAAATTTTACACTTCGTTGCAACAAAAGTGACAAAATTACTAAATTTTAATATTATTTTAGAAATAGTTTAATTATATATTTTAGTATAATTTTTTATTCACTATAATCATTTAAACCCTATTATCATATCAATGTTATATAATTATAACGTTAAACTATACCTTAAGTAGTATATATAATATCCAGTGTTTTACATTTTACATAATTATACGTTGCCGCACATTTAGTGTTATTATTTTCTTATATAGAAAATAAGGATGACAAATGAGCACGCAGTCCAACTGATGGATTTATGAATAGATAGACCGATGGTGGATGCTGTGGATTAGGAGTCAAAATGCGGAATTCGTTGTCATCCCCAAAGACTAAGATACAATGACCCGTTTCCAGTAAAATGAATCTCCGGTTCTTCACACTCACCATAGGAAAGACAGCAGTGTTAAGTTACTATTTTACGCTGTATACATAGCGTGTATTATTGCACAATATCATATTGTGAGTATCGTAAGTCCCGACAGAGGGAAATAAAACGGACAACGTCTTTCTGGTAAATCTCAAAGTAATTTAAAATAAAATTTAGGTTGCCAATCCGTCCGTCAGGTGTGGTAACTATAGAAAATATGACTATGAAGAAAGCCAATACGCATCAGTGAACTTTTGATATGATGTTATGAATGAGTTGATTTATTTGTAACATTCGTATAGATAAAAAATATCAGAGTTCTAACTCAAAAGTAATATGTTTTTTAGTATTCATTGTCAAAGTCAAAGTGAAAACTTTCAATTACATTTAGGCATATGTTAAAGCTCCGAACGTCAAAATCTAAACAATTTCGTAAAAATGAAACCTTTTTAAAGAAAAACTTTCATGAAACCCTGGGGTCTTTTTTTTAAACCTTATTTCAATATTTTTTGCAATAAATCAAAGGTTAATAAAAAAAATTCAAAATTCCAGTTTTAATGAAATAGAATATCATTAGAACACAATGTGATACCTACATTATTTAAAAAAAAATACTGTAGTGGTGGTGTAGAATATCCACCACACCATATTGTCCCGAGGATGACGTAAGAGGCAACAGCGGGAAACTGAAACTGGAGATGAGCAGTAGCATTTTCCTGTTAACTATGCACAATAATACAAAACTGCGGTTGCCCACCCGCACCTATGGTTACTATAGCAAAATTCTCTCTATGTAAGGCATATATTCAGCAGTGGACTCTTATTGGTTGTAATACATGTAAATATATTAATGAGCATATTTTTGGACTTATTAACTACAGTTAAAATTAACGTGTGTAAAAAAAATTATAGCTAAGACGTAGCGGGTTTTTGAAAGGGTTGGAGGAATCTGTCTATGAGAGCGGCGTGGAAGCACTGGAGTATAGATTGTATAAGATTATTTTTGTAACATTTTTTTTTAATTTTATCTTTTTTGTTTCTTCAAGTATTTTAAGTTATAGCCCGACTGTGAGTAGTGCCTCTCATAATAACCGCTCAGAAGAAAGAACTCTGCAAGAAAGTAGAAACCCTAGAAACTCAAGCTAAATCTAGTCGAGAATATATCAAGGTCCTTGAGCAACAGGTGAAAGGTCTACAGAGAACATTATGAAAAACAAGTAACAAGATATAAAACGTACCTAAAGTTAAGGAAGAAAAAAGGGAATATGTTATTAAAATGGTTCACAACTTATTAATTTCCATCAACTCCGATATGAAATCTGATGATATAAAAGTCGTTTTTAGGCTGCATGGTAAAGATAGAAATGTAAAAAACCCCATCATCATTAAACTTGGAACCACTCTTCAAAAAGCTGAAGTGCTACAAAAGACAAAAACGTTCAATACTAAAATAAGACCAAACTGTAGCCAAAACATCTCGGATTCAATTTTAACGAAGACACCCCTGTTTTTAATTCTGAAGAGTTGACTCCTAAAGGGGTTCGTCTATTCTTTCTAGCTCGTGATCTAGTGAGATCCAAGAAATTTAAATATTGTTGGACGTCTTTTGGCAAGTTGTTTGTGCGACAAGATGATAACACCCAAATCATTAAAATCATCAGCGGATTTCAGATACATCAGTTAGTGCAAGATGCATGACTACTATATATATTACAGAAATTACTTTGAAAATTTTATTATTACTTCTGGTGTTTAACCTCTCAATCACCTAGCGGTCTCATTAGGCAGCGGCCATATTCCGTCAAATCCCTAGCGGTCTCATGAGACCACACTCACCCACAGCATTATAACCCCTAAAAACTTATATTTAAAGACTACTTTTCTATGAAGAAGTTTGACATTATAGAAACAATATGAAATTTTCTATCCCCTAGTTGAATAAAAGTTCCGTTAGTCTATAGATATTAATTTATAATTTACATTCAAAGTGCATCATTGTTGATTGTTCGTTGTTGTACATTGTTGCGTTGATTTTTGGATTTTTCTAAGTTAATAACAGTTTTTTATATCACAAAATTATTATGAAAATTTTTGTGTGAATATAATTTATCTTTTTACGTAAATAATCTCGAGTAATATATAGAAATAATAGTAATTTTCACGCTACCGACATCCGTTTGGTATGTAGTTAGCACAATACAATAAAGTATTTTTGTAATGATTAATCCATTGGATATTTAACTTTTGTTTAAACTATAGAATAAAAACCAAACAACACATTAAACTAATATATAACACAAAATCTTACACGCTCTCACTTACGTATCATCTTAAAAATTACTATACATTTAGCTACCCTGTCCAGGAATTTTCTGATTTTTATGTACTATTTACATATCTTTTACAAAATCAAGGAAATTAAAAATTAATCCAAAAAGCCGTATAGATAATATCTATACTACCCTCTGTAGCTACAACGATTCAGTTGTCATTGCAAACAATTACGGATAGCCATATGAAAACACTTGAAGAGTTGGACGAAACTGAAATCGCTTATTCTTTAATAGGTAATATAGAGAAATTATCTCAAGTAATGCAACCTATACTTAATTCCAACTTTACAATACTAACCCTGAATATTAGGAGTATATATCAAAACATGAATAATTTACTAATTAATACATCTCAATTGGCATTCGAAACTGATGTCATAAAATTGACAGAATGCAGGTAAGACACCAATAAAATAATACCAACATCGAATAACTATAAATAATTTGAAAGTAATTGTCAACTAAATCTAAATCTAAAGCTTTGTTATATTAAAAGGGACCTAAAAGTGCAAAAAATATCTGAAATAAAGCTAACACATGCATTAGGCTTACAAATCGTTACTTATGACTTCTTTATATTGGGTATATATAGATCGCCGTCAGTTGCAAACGCTGATAAATTTATTGATTCCATAAATGCGCACCTAGAAACTATAGCCTCATATAAGAATATTGTTTTAACTGACGACATTAATCTCAAACTTATTACTAAATCGAGAGAGATAGCGTATCAGCACCATAACAGGCCGAAGTGCCTAGATATTTTATCTTTACATGGACTCTTTTCCAGTCATTACAACTACCTTGATCATGTGCTCCTAAAATTAGATAAATATACAAACTCGGCACTTGTAGCAGTACAACCATTACTGACCATTCTATGGTTTTACTCAGCATTTATAAATCCTACAAGCTAATGAATAAGTTTCCTAAGACTAAATCTACTTCCGAATAGTTAGTACATTTAACACTTGTAAATACAGGTGTATTTCATTTTAATACTTGTTATGATCCAAGCATTTTTGCTGACATCTTAATTGGTACAATAAAAACAGTAAGTGTTACCAATTATAAAATTAAATTGGTTAACAACAGCACAATGATTTTAAAACCGTGGATTACCACAGGAGCTTTGCTGTGTTAGGCTTAGGAATAGCATGCGACTGAAAACAAGAACCCGAGAATATAGTTTTAAAAATAACTTTTTAAAAACGTTTTAAAAACTTAGCACAAATCTAATGAGAAAATAAAAAAGACAGTGTTGTAAGAAATAAAATATTATTATCTTGCAAAAATTCCAAATTATAGTAATTTGGAATTTGTGTCTAAAATAAATGAAATAACCCAATTCAAAAGCACTGAAACTTCTAATGCTAGCCTTCTCGATCTGTCACCAGAATCTCTGGGATCTGTAAATATAGTAAATTAATTTTTTTCCATCATTGTTAAATCTCGGGCTGAAGATATAACTAATAATTCTTCAATATAACATGACAATGCTCCTGAAATTAAATTAAATCTAATCTCATTTGTTCTATTGGACTCTGTCCTGCAGAAATTTTCTGATATACTCATGAGTCTTGACTTTGTAAGTGCTCCTAGAATGGTACATTGGTAAAATTGTTCCTGCAAATGTGTAAAGATGTTATGGTTCCACTAATTAGCCAACTAGCAACCTGTGTTTCACGACAGGTATATTTCCAAGGGCCCTGAAACGATCACTAGTCACAACGGTATTCAAGAACGGTGATGTCAACAAATACCAACCTATATCTTGCCATGTATCTTCAAAAGCGTAGAATTAATTTTGAATAAAAGACTCCTCAGTTACTTGTACAATAATAATGTTCTATCAAATTCACAATATGACTTTACACAAGGTTTATCAACACAGGACGAAATATTTGATTTAACAAAGCTGATTATAGAAAAGGTCGACCGTGATGAATAATGTCTCACCTTCATTCTTGACTTTAATAAGGTTTTTGACACCGTCTCTATCTCCAAACTTGTTTTTAAGCTAGAAAGCATTGGAATAAGGAGCACAGAACGTGCTCTCTTCCGAAACCATCTCCGATTATTAATTATCCCTTCCCGCTCGGAAAAGGCTCAAAATATATTTATACAAAATACCCGATACAAGGGCTTCGCTCTCCTACATTTATTTAAAAAAAATGTAGGCGAGGTACACGGCCACACACGCCGTGCACGGTGAGTGCCAACCATTTTGATGCACTCCCCCCG